TTTGCAGATATAAACAAAGAATTTTATTACATTTTTATTATTTTTAAATTCAAGCTGATTTCCTGCTATATTCAAGGTTATGATGAGCATATAAGTCTCTTCTCAGTCCACAGACATGCCTTATTGAGAAATCTTCCTTGCCCCTATCTTTGGCCCCCACAAATCCCACTCTGAAAGATATCCCACTGTGAAATGGGTGCTTCCCTCCCCCATCAACTAGTTCATTAAGAATTTTTGTCCTTGACCTTCCAGCAAACAGTGTTGGCGCTCTCCAGCTGAAGCCCTTCCTTCCTGGCCTAGCCTTTGTAAGAACTGCATTCCTTTTGGGAACTACAGATTAAATCCCTGATGAATGTACCTATCTTTCTTGCTAGCTCAGTCTTTTGCAAACCTTTGAAAATGTTGTCTAGGCCGTTTAGAAGAGACAGACAATATTTAAACCAGGGTTTTTCAAACTGCTGATTATAACTCATTAGTGGTTCTCACAAGCAATTTAGTGGGTTCCTAACAAGCACTTTTGAATAAATAGTAGACTAGAGAAAAATGACAGTGCACTGAAGAATTAGAAGTAAACTTTATTTCATAAAACTTGTTTCAGGGGCGTGTGCGTTCATGTACACCGGGTTATGACATATAACATGTATGTCTTAATGGAGTCACAATCAAAAAGGCTTTTAAAACCTTGATCTTTGCTGACCATCTTTGCTGGTATAAAATTCTTGTGTGGGGACTCTCAGGCCTTTCTCCTAATTGCTTTAAGTGCCCAGCAAGTTGAGCAAGGAGCTATAGGAACTCAAAGAAGAGAGAACCCTCAATTCTGGGTTTATTTTGGAAAAGTGAACAGTTGGTGGATTTGAGCTGGACTTTGAGAAAAAGACAGAATTTGACTAATAGCAACCGGAGGGAGCTAAAGTAAAGGCTAGATTACAGGGAGAGAGAGACAACATGGAGCTGTGGACAGAGCAATGAGTTTGAAGATCTGGCTGCTAGTCCTGCCTCAGCCCCTCAGCTATGGAGATTCAGGTTCCAGACCTGCCCTGAGCCACTACTGTCTAATCTGTAAGATGTGTTTAATTGCATCTGCCCCACAGAGTAACTGTAAATTACAAATGGAAAAAGGTGAGTGAAACTGCTTTGAACACTAGGAAGTACCAAACAATACAACATACCCCTCTTTTTTCTAGACAAAGCAAAGGTCACAAGCAAAGGTGCAAATGTGGGAAACTATTAGGTGTGCTTGGGATTAAGGGAGGACCACAGCTTGGCACGTATAAGGTTGGCCAAGGAGGAGAGACTAACAAGATGTGTTTAGGCAAATCTGAAAAGATTTTGAGTATCGGGTGACGGTGTCTGGATTTGACTCAGTAGATAAAAAGGAATTGGATGATTTGTAGACACAGGAGTGACATAGTCTTGTTTGGGAAACACTGATCTAACAGCAGTGAGTAGGAAGACGTATGGGAGCCTCAATTATGGTAGTTGCAATGGGAATGTTACCTGGGCAGGGCTGTGTACTTGGCTCCCTCCCCGAGGTCCTTGGCCTCTCTAATCCCAAGAATGGGCAAAGGGGCCCCCGAGGCATGGTGAGTTTACCTTTCGAATAAATACTGTGCAACCAGAGTTTAACAGAGAGCGACTTATTAGGCAGAGAGAGAGAAGGAGAGGGCGAAAGAGCTCCCACGCTGCCGCCGTGGGAGGGGATACAAGGAAGAATCTGTATAAGTAAGGAGGAGCGCCGGGGTTTAACCCTGGAGTTATTCCCTCCCCATTCATGTTTTCGTCCAATGAGAGGAGTTCTTTCAAACTTCCTCTGGAGTGATTGATCTTTGACTCTGATATCAGATTGGCTGCTTGGTCTGCAACAGAGCCCCTCCTCCCAGAGATTTCCCGGGCTTTTTGAACAAAGCAGCTCACCTGGATTTTCCACCTAGCCCACCATGGGAATGTCAAAGAACTGTGCATTTGAAACCCCGCTGGTTCCCAGATGGAGGCAAAACCATACCTCTCGTGGACCTGGGAAGAGAATTTTTTTTCCTTAACACAGCCCCTCAGGAATAGAAAAGAAAGGTACAGTTGCTAGAAAACTCTCGTCCCAAATCCATAGATTTATTGCATTATTGGGGCATCAGGATTGCAGAGAGAAAGGGCCAGGCAGGTGCCAGTTGTGAGGAAGTGGGAGCCCCAGGTGACTGTGGGGTTCCAGCCCTCACAACTATAAGTCTGCTTATACCAGTCAAAGAAACGGGGAAGGCAGAAAGACTACTATTAGGAGGAGACAATGTATGTGGTTGGTTCCCCTTCTCCAAGTAGAATCCTATTTATATGAACCTGTTCCATTTCCTAACGAGCCAGGTCTTTGGGATAAAGAGCCACTTGCCCAGCCTTGCCTCACAGATGGAGTTCTCCAAACCTCTGAATAAACTTGTTTCTCTCTGAGCAGCTCTCTCATAGGGGGATGCTCTACAGTTAATATCCTACTCAAAAATAGGCAGAATGCTTATTTTAGCATTTCGTGCTAATTCAGTCTCATCAACTTGTCTTCTATCTGTAGACTTCACTTAACCCCCAGGTTAAATTATGTTATGAATGCAGCATTGATACACCACATCCTACCAATCAAGTTCAGACTCAATTGCCTGGAGCAGCAAGAGCATGAGTCAAATAGCTAGGTTCAGATCTTTCCCACCTACTAGCCTGGGGATGTGACACTGGGAAAATTACCTGAACTCTCTGAACCTTGATTTTGTCATCTGTAAAGTGGGGACAATTATAATAATACCTATCTTGCAGGTTGTTTGTGAGATTCACACTATTATACTTAACTTACATAGCACAGGACCTAGAAAAATTAGGTACTTGATAAAGGGCTGCTCTTGTCATTATTATTAAAGGACATTAATTAACAGGCCCCACCCTCCTTCACAACCGCATGCCAAAGCTTTTCCCTAGTTCTATGGGATAAGGCTTGTCCTGGTTCGGTGCAAGGAATGGGGCTGACCTGGCAACCTACCTCTTCAGGAGCAAAAGTTATCACTGCCCTTCTCCTTTTAGGTAAGCACCTTTAAGCCCAGCTACAGGCTCTTCAGGCAAAATAACTTTGTTCCAGCTAAGTGCTGGTCTGAAAATGCTAAGTTTCCATCACAAAGAATAGACAGGCAAAGATGGGACTACTACATGCATGTTACTCCCATCAGCCGATAGTGGGGGGCAGAGAGTTAGAGACTGAGGAGAGAGTAGGTCCCCATGGCTGTAGTTCCTGCCCCAAAATCAAGGGATTCTTGGAAATCTCAAAGTGCAGTTGAAACCCAGCACTTGGTCACAAAGCAGCAAGATTAGGAGTCAGAAGCTCTGGTTTTGAGCCCAGGCTTGTTGCCCACATGAGCTTGAGCCAGTCTCTCCAAGCTCCAGTTTTATCTCTAAAGAAATGCCCCTCCTTGTTTTTTAACCACAACAGCAACTCCCCCCACCTAAAGCATTCTACACACAATTTCATGAACTCCTAAGACCTTGACAACCCTTGATTCTCATATGGTATTCTCCACGTTTTTTAATAGGCTTGGGAAGTAGAGTTCATTTTTTAGCCTTTCCAAGCAAAACTCCATTACACAATGGAAGTGCTGATAACAAAAGTATTCTGTAAGAATTTGGCCTTGTATTGACCAAACACAAGACACTTTCATAAAAAGGGCATGTATTCACCCATGGTTTTATATGAAAACAAGAAAGATATGCCCAGCCCTCTTTTACACACTTGGAATTCTAGAAATATGGTGCACTTGTCATGGTTTTTATCCTTATACATTCAACAAAATGTAATAGCTCTGTTTGATGGCATATAGTAAATAAAGGTGCTTTCTTAGACTCCCAGGAAGTAAATAATTGACATATTAATTTCCTATGATTCAATCACAGAATGCTTACATGAAAACAAAAGAAAGAAATAAGTCCAACAGACTACCATCAATAGCTGCTTAACTTCAGGCCAGGCATGGTGGCTCACGCCTGTAATCCCAGTACTTTGGGAGGCCAAGGCGGGTAGATCACAAGGTCAAGAGATCAAGACCATCCTGGCCAACATGGTGAAACCCTGTCTCTACTAAAAATACAAAAATTGGTCAGGCATGATGGCACACACCTATAATCCCAGCTACTCAGGAGGCTGAGGCAGGAGAATTGCTTAAACCCGGGAGGTGGAGGTTGCCGTGAGCCGAGATAGTGCCACTTCACTTCAGCCTGGTGACAGAGCAAGGCATCATCTCCAAAAAAAAAAAGCTACTTCTTATCCAGCTTTCGGCATGAGCTGCTTTTACCCTATTTCTGATAGAAACAAAGAAGCAAACTTACCTCGCTTATAGTATGCCATGAACTCATCTTTTTATGAGATAATTTAAATTGTCACCTTACAAATATTTTTTCTAATAGCATCCCCTTCATCATCTTGGTTTTGGAATAATCCTTTCAAGACAGAATTAGAAATAACCACTCACTTGTAGATTTTTAAAATACATCTCAAGTATTTGGAAGAGAAGGTTGAAAAGATGCTCTCCCAAGTCTAATAGAACAACTGTGGATGACAGTGGGCAGGGGACAACATTGGTGGTATTTTGTTATAGCACAGAGATGGAAGCATTTCTCTACTCTTATAGGTAAGGAAACTGAGGCACAGCAAATCTAGGACTAAAATCCAGGGCATAGGATTCCCCTATCCAGGTGCCCTTTCCTTGCCCTGTGCTTTGTAACTCTGGACCTTAAAGAGATGTTGTTCCCATTTGATTTCTGGTTTAGCCAAAAGCACCTGCATTTCCTTATGGCAGATTCTGATGAAGGAAGATTGAATTTCATTTTTATTACTCCATTTATCTGTTTCCTTTGGATTATCTTCCTGATTTCCCCTTTTATCTTTCTCACCATCCATTTGTTAATGGAAACAAACAAAACTGTTTCTGCTTCTTTCCCACAACTGCCATCTGATTAAACTCTACATAAAGTCCCTTCTTTATTAAAGCCCTAAGTAATTGGTTGTGATGCTTGTGAAGATTACTGGGCCAATACATGGCCACATTCAATGATGAAATGTAGCTAGGGTGTTTCTTCTGAGAAAAAAATTGATATGTCATCTCATAGCCTTACAGATTGGTACCTTTTAGAGTTTTAGCCACTGCTTCAGTATATATCTCCTGCCAGGTCCAAGTTAAGATCATTGAATTGTTAGATGCTTTTTATTTGAGGCTTATATGGTAAGGAGAAAATATAATATTCTATTTTCTTTCATTTGCTTCTCTGGAGTAAGCAGTCACTTTTCTGTCTGAAAAATAGAGAAAAGAAAGAAAAGTTAGACTCGTTCTTGAGCATAGTATTATTTATTATTTGACAAAGGAAATTGATGAGTCATCTGAAATTTGTAGAATTTCAATATAAAGTTCTTCCTCACTATTTCTTCTCTTATTTTCTATATAGCTAGTATTTTATTTCTTTCCCTTTTCATTTTAACTAAAGATTTTTGTTATTTATTGAGATGGAGTTTTACTCTTGTTGCCAAGGCTGGAATGCAATGACACTATCTCAGCTCACTGCAACCTCCGCCTCCCAGGTTCAAGTAATTCTTGTGCCTCAGCCTCCCCATAGCTGGGATTACAGGCACCCACCACCACACCCAGCTGGTATTTTGTATTTTTAGTAGAGATGGGGTTTCACCATGTTGGCTGAGCTGGTCTTGAACTCCTGACCTAATAATTCACTCACCTCAGCCTCCCAAAGTGCTGAGATTACAGACATGAGCCACTGCACCTGGCCTAACCAAAGGTTTTTATAAAAATAAGACTTTAGAATGATTGTTTTTAAGTTTATTTTCTGCAGCATCAAGAATTAGTTTTCTCTAGCAGTTAGCCCAGCCTTTATTTCATTGAGAATAATGGAAAAATTAAAGGAGGTTTCCATTTGAGTAAAGTTATGGTTTTCATCTTCCCTGTCCGTTTTTTTCCTCATCTGGACTACAGTTCTTTTATACAATGATCTTCTTTTAGCCAAGTGAAAAGGCAAAAGTAATTTTTCCATAGGTTTTTTTATGCTGAGAGAGTTTCAACTGGCATATTGGGAGAAATCTATATTCAGGTAAGAATACATATATAAGCCTGGATTTGTCTGAAATTTGTTTCGTCTGTGCTTGGGCCCTCCCACAAAGTTGAGGGAAGAGGGAGATGTTAAAACTGGACCTAGGTCTCTCTGCCCTTTAGCTTAATTTTTTTAAAAAATCTTTGTATTCAGTAGCTTTAAAGAGGATAATTATTTTCCCCCTTCTGTAGACAAGCTGCATTAGGATGGCACATGAATAAATGAGATCCTTCTTTGACCTGATAGGGACTCCAGTTCACTGATATCTGTCCTTTCTCCACCTTCCTACTTATCCAGATTGGAATTCTTTCTCTATTATTTCCATATCACCCTTGCAAACAGTCAGTATTCCATTATGTTTTCTGTTATACCCATCTGGAAAGACCTCAAGCAGAGATGAAGCCAACATGTTGCTTTTCGGGACGCTACATCTGCATAACTGAGACCTGATGGAGAGATCTACACACCTACAGAGACTGGTTCCCTCATTTATTACTGATCACCAACTTCAAATAGACCCATACTACCCAACTATCCCGCTTTACCTCTCTCATCATTTCTATCCTCAACTGTGTCCAGCCATTTGTTTTCCTTCTACTCATTCCTCAACCCACTTATCTGGTTTCCATCTCAACAACTTACTAAAGCAGCTTGTTAGATCAGCAATGACCATCATGTTGCCAAACCAGAAAGATATTTTCCAGTTCTCCACTGATGTCTTTTTAGCAACATATGATACTGTTGATTATTTCCTCCTTGCAATATTCTACCCCTTATCTCCCCGAACTCAGTACTCTGAATTCCCCCCACCTCTCTGTCCATTTTCAGGTTCATCTTTTCCATTAAATGCTGGAATTAATAAAGGTTTATCCAAGGCCCTGTTCTTTTCTCACTCTGACTTCTATTGCTAGGTGATTCCATCTATATACTTGGATTAAAATAACATAGAAACAAAATCAAATTTATACTCAAATTTATACTTCAGTCACATAGATGCAACTTACTTGAAACTCCACTTGTATGACTCAAAGACACATCACAGTCATTATATCCAAAACCAAACTCAAGAATTCTCTTCCCAATCTAATCCATGTTCAACATGTCCTCCATTCCGTTATGCAAGCAAAAAGCTCAAGATTTTTCCCAGGTCCTCCCTCCCTCATCCAGTTGTTACAGAAATCATCATCTTTTACCAGTTTTACAGCTTTCAGAGTTTACATTCACGACAAATACTTTAGAATGTTAGGATTGTTTATTACTATTTGGTTGAATGTTTTTAAAGAACTACATAACACTTTTTTCCCCCCTCCAACACACTAAAACAAGAAAGAATTATAAATGGGGAAATGATGTAAGTGTAAAATACTGCACAGGGTGAAGTCCTTTTTGAAAAAAAACAATTACATGCCAGGAAACATTTTGTTTTTTAAAAGAAAAAAACCACATTAATACTAGGCACCATTTCTGTTACCTCCTCAAGGTCAGAGTCACTAAACTACACAGAGCTGAGACAGATAAAAGACTGCAAGCAACAGCAAGAATTTCAAAAGGTCTGAATGGACTAATGCCTCACTTTCTTAGGGACATATATTTCTTACATTTGGTAAAGTTGTAAAAGAGTCTTAAAGTTAATTTTCTTATCATAAAATTTTGTAAATGGGCATCATCATATTGGATTTTTTTAAGAGATCTGTAACTTGGCCTGTAAAAGAGGTGTCTCTTAATAGATTAGAAAATATTATCTTTAGTTCAAAGCAGAGAGTGATACAGAGTTAGAATGAATATTTTGCCCTATTCTCTTTTAGTCTTGAGTGCTTATATACTAGCAAAGATAAATATATTCTTCTGCAAAGCCTCCTGAGAATACAGAGATAAATGCATCGGGATAGTGAATTGTTTGAGGAAATAAGAGCTGGATTTTTGCAAATAAACTCTTGCACCCATACAAAAGGTCAATATTCATAGAAACTTTCCCAAATAATATGCCTTTCTCTGCCAATATACAAAGTAACCTTTGTCAGTTAATAATGAGCTAATTGTTAACCTGAACAACAGATGACATCAGAGAAAATTGGCATAAATTATCCCAAAATGAACAGAAAATGAATCTGTCCACATAATGAATCTGATTTACATGATTCTTCTCCCTGCTATTTCCTTTGTAAATAATCTTTTATTTAAATAATTGCCAGCCCAAAAGCTAAAATCCTAATTATTCTGGGAGTTACATGGACTTTGATAGGTAAACCATTCTTTCAGCCATAACTTGTAAACTGCCATAACTTGTAGACCATTGATCACTATACACAGCTGTTAGTTTAGATCGACTATTGCTGAAGTAGTCTGCTCAGTATATTGTTGAGCTCTCAAGAGCACAAAGACTCCTAGTTGGGAAATTCATGAGACCTAGAACCATGCTTCCAAGGCAGCAGCACTGGGAAAATATCCTAGGTGCATATTCTCTGTCATTTTTAATGTATGAATAGCAGACAAAGTGCTTTTCTTTATACCTAACCAAGAATCATCTTTGACACCATCTGAAGAATCAATGGTAGACTTGCCACCTTCAGAGTCCTTCAGCTTCCACCAGACCATTTATTTCATTTTGAGGGGACAAAATAGGGACTCCTGCAGTTTTCTCTCTGTCGTATTTTCTTGCTGAATCCAAGACCACATTATGAAACCATGCCATTGATTTTTTCGACTACTGCTGTGTCAGTTCTTGCCTATCTGTTGAAAATTACTTTTTTTTCCTCTTTACATCTTGGTAGAACATCTTATTCTGAAAATTGACTATATCTCACCCTCCATTCCCACACTTTGCCTAGAAAACAGACTTTTTAAAAGAATGCCCTCCTGTTCTTGCCACTGCAAAAGAATAGAGGAATTTAACGTTTCCTGTCACACACTCACACACAATTAGTCTCCTTAACAATAAAGAGAAAAAGAAGTGGGGAAAAGATATCCACAACCTCTATAGATATTAAGTCTATGGGATGCTCTCTGTACGTTCGAACCATCTAGTACGATCAAAACTATTATCTCCTCCACTGGGTGTCTAAACTGCCCATATGAATCATTTCAGTGAATAAAAGAATAAAGACTAGAAAATAGGATAGTTGCAGATTTGAGAAACAGTGAAAGTGCGGTGCCACAGACAGTAATGATATCACTTGTATTATTACAGTCGTTTTTATATTAGTAGCATTTGAGGATTATGTCATCTAACATTTGAGATTGTGTTGACAATTTGTTCACATACAGATAAGAAAGAAGGAATGATCCTTTCAAAGAGAGATACATGTTTAAAAGTGTGGTGTGTGTATATCTGCATGCACATGCACCTGAGGTTGAACATGCGCCAGACACACCATACCCCACCTGAGTGATTAAATAGATCACTCAGTAGGAATTTTGCAGATCATTTTATGTTTTCTCTGTCATTTGAAATAAGGTGATATTTTATGGTGCCCACAGGGGTATGTGTCTACAGGCGTTGTCTGATTTTAAAAACTTGCTCAAGTTAATCTTGACAAATCTGGCTGTTAGCAGCTGTTTGGCCTTGAAGATTATTTTATTTGTGAATGCTGCTCTAGTTGCTACACAGATGGTGGCATTGGGTGGGGTGTTTCACATCTAAGATAGTCCAATAATAAACTGAAATACATCAGCAATAAGGTTTGTAAGTGACCTCATGAGGAATTGTCCAGCTTCTTACATCAGGCCATAAGGGTGGATCACTTGAGGTCAGGAGTTCAAGACCAGCCTGGCCAATATGGTGAAACCCTGTCTCTACTAAAAATACAAAAATTAGCTGGGTGTGGTGGCACACACTTGTAATCCTAGATACTCAGGAGGCTGAGGTAGAGACTCACTTGAACCCAGGAAGCAGAGGTTTTAGTGAGCTGAGATGGTGCCACTATACTCTAGCATGGGCAACAGAGTCAGACACCTTCTCAAAAAAAAAAGAAAAAAGCAGCTCAGGTGTTTGTTTCATTGAGAGGTCCCCTCAGGGAATGAATAAGTGCTTCTATAGCAAAGTACTCCGATGTGCTAAGGAAAGTATGAACCTTACAACCATAGTTTGCACCTTGGTCTGCTACTGAGGTGGCAGCAGAGCTGGGTACTGCTTGTGATGTGGTTTTCCTGTAACACAGCTCCACCTCCAGAGGTAGCTTCACCCAGAATCAATGA